TATTTTGTGAAGTAACATAGCTGAGAGAGACCTGTAGGGAGGAAGAATGATTGCATAGAAAACTTTTCTAAATGTTGATTTCATGAGCTGCATCGCCTTAAGTCAAAACTGAGTTTTTTTGCATGCTAGTAAAGTATGGCTTTATTTTCATTTAGTCATTTAACTTTATCCTGTGTATGTCAAGTTAGAGAATATGGAACTCTGCAATCTTTCCCAAGTTCACAATGACTATTTAGACTTATATTATAAACGTTTATTGAATTGGTTTTAAGATGTGTTCTTTATTTGTATTAGGCTCTTATTTTGCATACAATACTATTAATATAAAACTTAGGTTGCATTAGAAACACTTAACTAAATGAAAAGTAAATTAATAACTTAGTAAATGGGTTTTGAAATCATTGTTAAATATTATTTTAGTTGGAAATTGGAAACCTTGAAAGAACTCGATCGGTAATGGCTGAAGAGCTGGTGAAGTTAACAAATCAAAATGATGACTTAGAAGAAAAAATTAAGGAGATCCCCAAGTTACGTGTACAATTAAGGGTAGGTTTCTGTCAATTTATTTTAGAATAAACTTAAAGGAGATTATTACTAATGTAAAACCATGCAATGAACAACAGCAGCAGACTTTTTGGCAACTAGTATTTTTACCATAAAATAATAAGTGGATAGTAACAAGTGTTGTTTTGGCTGCATAAGAACGTTTATATCTTATATTAAACAAAAAAATAATGATGATAGAAAAAAGTAAAAATTTTTGTAGGGAACTATTTTGTAATTACTGGGCAATATTGTTCCAGGATTTGGATCAGAGATACAATACCATTCTGCAGATGTATGGAGAGAAAGCAGAAGAAGCGGAAGAATTGAGATTGGATCTTGAAGATGTAAAAAATATGTACAAGACTCAGATTGACGAACTTCTGAAGCAAAGGCATAGCTAATTATTGTTCAGGTTTTGATCCGAAAACAACGTTGCATTAAACTCTAGAGCTGTTTCTGTAAATGTAGTTAATTTGTAAAAAAAAATGTACTATAAAGTAATTATAATGTTGAGTTGATCTGATGGCAGGAATCATTGTGCTTTTATGATGACTGGCTGTCAGCAATTAAATTATTTGTTAATATTTAAAATCTTTTATCTCCAGCTTATTCTCTTGTCTCTCATAGTATACATGTTTACTTGTACAGTAATAACTTTAATTGTGAAAACATATGATTGAAGCTCTCACATTGATGATGATGTTGTACTGTGTCCTTATGTCAGTAAGAAGGATATTGCTGCCAGTTAGGATTCTCTTACCTCTGCAATCTTTGTACTGATTCCAGATCTGCCCCTGAGAGGTTGGGAATCTCTGGAAAAAAATACAAAAATTGCAAAAGAAGAAAGCAAGGAAAAGTTCTGTTGTGCAAAATATATTAATGTGGCATTGATTTTCAAAAACATGTATTTGAAAATTTGCACTGATATGAATTTATTTCCTCATACTTATCTATTCCTATCTAAATGGATATTTAAAGGAAAATATTGTGGGTACTTTAACTATATTAATAGCAATGACTTGATTTGCTATAGGCAATAAAAGTGGTGGGATGTCTTTATATCCTTGGTATCCTGCTCATGTGATTTACTATTCTGCCTCTTTAAAGCAAGCAACACAGAACAACTTAAATTTTAAAAAGCAATCAGACACCCTCTCCTTGATATAATTTGGTATATTTTTAAATATTTCACTGTGTTACAGCATAATATAGAGAAACAGATAACCTAACATTTATTAGTTTAAAGAGTCGTGAAAGGCAGTGCAGGGGTATGTTTGTAAGAAAGTTCACACTCAGATAATTCTCATGGTCTAATTCAGTGCATGTCAATTCACTAATATTTCAAAAGTGAGTAAACCTGTTCCAAATGTTTCAAATGAGATGCAGTAGTTAGCAAACTACTGTTTAAGAAAATATTTGTCAGAGTATAAATGAGTAATAGTATTGTACTTGAAATTGTCTTTCTAGCTCTTCAAGTTGAAGCAGAAGAATCACCAATATCAGTCTCTAATATTCATATAGTTTTCAGAATATTATTGTTGTCATCTTATTGTGGTTTCTTGTTTTTACATGGTTATAAGGAACTTTTTTAGAAAATTAATTTTATCCTATTGAGATATTTGACTTGATAAATCTTTTAAGGTTTTTAAAATATATTCCTAAAAAAGTGAAAAATTATTTGATATGTTTTAACAAAATTTTACTTGCTGGCAAATCGATAATGTGGAGAGAAGTATCTTAACAGAGAATTATCTTACGTTAGTTAGAAACTTACATGAATCATACTCAGAAGAAACATATAATAACCTCCTGCAACTGAATTGTTTCTGAATAGTTGAAGAAAGTGTTGCATTCAATGGAATCTTGCTGCACTGAGGAAAATCAGCACGATACTATGTGCAAAAAGCTGTAGCACAGATATTGAGGATTCTCCATCTGTTAGTTACTATGTTTAGGGTTTTTAAGTTTAGGAATCATTTAGTTAAGGAATCACCCATCTATATTTTGAAGTGTTTCATTTTTAGGAAGTAAATTAAATTACTCAAGAAAATGTGAAATGTTTATATTATATAGTTTACATACATTTTTCTGACCATATTAAACTGCAGTACACTCTAATGAGAACATCTGTTGACTCAAAAATAACTTGTTAGCAATTCAGTAATTCTGAAATAAAAATGAGCAATGATTGCTGACAATGTAGTTTTCTTTTATAATATGTGACTAATCACCAAAATACTACATTAATAAATACAAAATAATATGAATATTGGATCTAAAATTGAATCTATGACTTTTTATAAAAAGATATGCATATTATTTAATTTTAAATTACTTCTATATTTTATTTGAATTACATTAATTTAGAGTAAATATTCTTCACTTTTGAGAAGAAGATACAATCTGCAATTCGGATATTTCTGTTTGCCTTAAGAATAAAATCCTTAAAAGGTTTTTAACCCAGGGGTGTCAAACTCGCAACGTATCACAACTTTTTTGCCATTGCCGTCAATGGTGTGGGCGCGGTTTTGCTATGATGCATCCAGCCCACTGGCCGGCAGTTTAACACCCCTGTTTTTAACCCAATCTTTGAATAATTTGTCTTTTTAGATAATTATTATCACATGTGGCGTATTCATAACCATTGGTTTAAACTTAGACCTAAAATACAGGCAATCTGCAATGTAATTTTGGCAGCTTGACATTCTATTTCCTTTACTAATTTCAGACAAGAAATGCCATGCCTATGAAATTTAACCTACTTTTACATTTTAAAATAATTAAAATTTAAAAAAATGTTTCAGACTGTTTATCTTTTATTCTAAAAATAGTTTGATCACTTTCAATGCGTTCTTCCCCTATTGAGCCGAGGTGGCGCAGCAGTTAGAGTGCAGTACTGCAGGCCACTTTACCTGACTGTGTTCAGCAGGTCAGCGGTTCAAATCTCACTGGCTCAAGGTTGACTCAGCCTTCCATCCTTCCGGGGTAGGTAAAATGAGGACCCAGATTGTTGGGGGCAATGTAAATATATATATACATTGCTAACTGGTGTACACCGCTTAGAGAGTGCTTGCACTTAAAGCGATATATAAGTCTCATAAATAAATAAATAAGTGTCCACAGTTTCTGCATGTCTGCAGACACTATTTTGATATGTACAAGGGCATGAATATATTCATTTTATATTCTGAAAAATGGTTATTTTCATAATGGTAACATAAAAGTGATTGCAAAAAGCAAGTGTTCATAACAATGCAAATACAGTTACTCTTATTTTTCTGATTAGAAATAAAATTACACATTTGATTGAGAGAGAGAGAATATTATTTGGGAACCAAATTGCTAAGAAATATATAGCTTAGGATATGTACTAAAACGCTTCTGCCAATAGGCACTTTGAACATCTCAGTATATTTGAGTGGGACAAATAATCAGGCCAGGTCCTTCTTAATATCCAATGGGAATATTATTTGGCTTTTAATGAAAAATATAATGAATTACAGCAGTATATTTTAATTATTTAAATCTTCATTGTGTTTGTATGAATATGATTTATCTTTTTAGCTGTCTAAGAAAATCTAGCAAACAAAGGTGTTTACATTAATATGGTACAGTACTATAAAATACTGTTAACATTGTATAAATAGTATGTTTAAATTTTGGTAAGTGAGTAAAATATTTGAAATAATGTTTTATATTTTCTTAAATTGAAAAATATCAGTGATAAAATAGGTTCTAATTGCATGGGTTGAGTTTTTATTGGTACATGCGGTGATACAAAATTATCATACAATTCCATTTTAAGATAGGCAAAAAGTATTAATAAACCAAAGAAATTAAAGACAGATCATAACAAATGAAATATAGTTAAATTTAGTTTATAACACTTCATTATACTTCCCACTGTTCGTACACTGCTTTCTATATTGCCTTTTGTTTTTTAAACTTCTCATCCTTTATTTTGAAGATCTCTTCAACTCCATCCAACTACAAAATTCTTGATCTTCTTTCTGTTGATTCATTCATTCCTCCTTCAACATTTATTTTGCAATACTTCCTATATGGTCAAACTAACCTCAGTGTATAGTGTTCATAATGGTTTAATCTGTATTTATTCATTGTTGATGCTCATCTTTCATCACACACCTTTCTTAGGTATCACATTCCCACTAGACTCGACATGACATACCCTAGCATCACTTTCATATTTAAAAAAAAGGATAGAGATATAATTTTATAATAGTGATAATACCTTATTTCAATAAGTAGTCAACTATTCACAAGGCTACCTTTCTATCACTAGTTGCACATTTTAACATTTCTCCATTTTCCTATCTTAAGTAAGCTTTCTTTCAAGGTACACAATTAACTTATTTGCTGTATTTTTGGGAATATATATATATATATATATATATATATATATATATATATATATATTCTTGCCCCTCTAATCTTTAACTGATGCATCACAGGGGAAAGCTTTTGCCAACAAAGGTACCTCGAGTTGGCTATCTTGTGGAATGCTGGTACTCTAATGAGTATTCCTGAAGGAATAACATTTGGGGAAGTTGTGGCTTCTTCAGCATTGCTGAATTGCTATGGTCACATGATCCTCATTCTCCATTGCATTTTGTACACTTTTTGAAATCTTTCAATAGTTTATATTTTCTAAGTGAGACGGTAGGATGTACCATCCATAAAAATTATCCACTTCATAAAAATTAATGTTAGCATTTGGGGAGGAGATATTAATGCTAGTCATTTAACTATATGCTATTTCTTTTCTAGAAGCCAACAGTATATAGTGCTTAAAACTTTTGAAATACTATCGCATCAATTTTGTCATTTGATTAAATTCTATGTACAGTGTTCAAACAATACACAAAATGCAGTGTTTCTCTGTTTAAAATATTGTTTTTGAAGATTGTAAACTGTGCCATTTTATGAACAATTCAGAAACGAAGTCAGTTCAGTACTTGGAGATATGTTTCATCTTGTACTTCCTAGCACAAAATGGAAATGAAAGGTTCTTCTGTGGTTACTGATATTATTCCTATCATAACTGATATTACTTTCACAATACTGTGAGAAAATATCTGCCTTTCTGAATTTCAAACTTCTGTATCTTATTGCTTTATAAAGCCATCCTTTTTCTGGGATATAATGGAGTGAAATAAGAAAGAAGTGGATCGAAACAAGCAACAGAGCCTGTATTCAACTAAAATCCTTAATTGTTTGAGAGGAGGAGAGCAAGGACTGTTCACTGAGAGAAAAAGCCATATAAATGGTAGCATTGGATGCCAAGCTGTGACAAATGAGAAGAGAGTACGATTACAGTTCTGGATAAACCCACATCTGATCTAGTTGTCTCTAAAAGATGATGTAATGTACATATTTGGCATTCATTATCTCAGTGGCATAAATCCTGTTGCTTAAAGAAAGAAATTAACTATTTTTTAATGAATTTAACGTAATCATACTGGACCAATTAATTCTGGGCTGGGAACTAGATAGCTTGTGTCATATAAAAAGAATTCAGAGATTGCAGGAGCATATTGGTACAAATTTAAAACTGCAAATGGGCAGTAACTCCTCCTTTTGAAAAATCAAACGACTAAGAATTTTAGTTCTTAAACTAAAGAATTAAACTAAAACTAAAATTAAGAATTTTAGGCTCTGTTGCTTCTTTCAATCCACTTAAATGAGGATTTAAAAGTTCTTTTTCAGACTATTTCCTCACTAGATAATTATACTGTACTGTCACAACTATTGTAGCACAGATGGTCTCCATTAGTGCTATATCCCCTTAACAATACTGCACTGTAGTTGTATAATGTTACTGTGTATTCATTAGTAAGAATCTGGAGGAGCATTTTCAATTTTGCATTTGACACAATCCAATTTCACTGATTCATCAAAACAGCTAAAGACTTCTCAGAATCTGCAAACTAGATTCTACAAGTTCCTGAATCAGAAACAATTTCAGCAAGATTGGACAGAAGAATTTTTTGATCCATTTCACTAAAAAAAACAAATAATAAATCCAAGAATGAAGAAGACATCACTAGAAGAGTTTTGAATGAAAGCACACAAACAACAACCAAAGAGGGCACTGAGGTCTTTCCTTCAACATACATTTTGTGAAAGATTAATTGAATTCACTACAATTAAAATACTGAAATACAGTTGCTTCAATTACTGTCTTAATATGGGCCTGGCCATGGATATGATATCGTCACATGTATTTAAGTCTCATTAAGATTTATAATTAGTGTATTTTAACACATTGGTCCAAGACTGGGAGACCCAGGGTGATTTGAGCTAATCATTCCAGACTTTCCTACCTCCGCAAGACAGTTTGCTATTCAGAATAAAATAAAGGAAAATCTCAATACAGGACAACCTGAGTTGCTGAAGAAAAGGTGGGATAACATTATTAAAAAGTGAAGATGCCCTGCAGCTTTACTGCTGGTGACCAGTGGATACATCCAGGGCGTTCCTTCTCCAGGATGTTCCTCAGCTTCCCCATCAAATCAACCTCTGATTCCCTGTTAGTCTTCCTTTCCTGTCCAAACTAGACTGCATGTATCACAACCATGACATGGATGATTGGGTATCTCCACAGACATTTGAGCTGCATCTAGTTACCTTCTCTTATCCCCACCTGCTGCTTAATGAAAATATGCCGTATTTCAATATTCATTCCTCCCGTTTTAGAAAGAAGTAGTCCTTGGTGTCCCTGATTTTTTTTTAATTTTGTTTGAGTTCGAGACATGCTGTTTTAAGACTCTCAAGGGCTTGGGCATCCTCCGAGATCACGTGAACGTGGGAAAGAGCCTCCGTTCACATCCCAGACAGCTGTGGCCGTCGCCGAGGAGAGGCCGCCGTGAGAGACGCAGCTTGCTTGGACGCCGATCCTCCCGGCTGAAACAGCCTCGGACTATCCGGCGCGGCTTTCTTTCCCTCGCAGGGCTTCGCATTCCCCAGGGACCCCAGGCCGGTGGAGAAGCCGCCCGGCCCAGTCCTCTCCAGGCCTCCCCATTGCGCTCCCCCAGCAGCGCGGCTTGCCTTCCGGAGGGCCGAGCCACCCCGCGCTGGCCCCTCCTTCCGCAGCTGCCATCGGGGCTCCCTGCCTGTCTACCGGCCTGCCTGCCTGCCTGCCTTCTTTCCTCGCGAGGGAAGGAGGATCCGGGTCGCGGCCGGAAAAACTCCGGAGAGACGGCAACTGGGAAGTCGGCGAGGTGCCACTGGACCCTTCGCTCGCCTTGCGCGAAGGAGGCGCGCTTTTCCCATCGCGGTCGGGGTTGGACAGTTTTGGCGCGTCCCGGTGTAAGTATGACTCTCCCGAGGCAGGCGCTTCGGACCTTCCCGCCTTTCACCTGCGGGGATTCTCTTCCTCTGGGGGTCCCGCTCGTCCCCTCGAGCGTTTGCAGCGTGGCTTTCGCCCCATGGAGGGCGAAAAGAACAAGAAAAGAACAAGAAATCGCTTATTGGGCTCTTCTCCTTTCGTAAGATGAGGCTGGCAGGAAATCCCATTCATTTCAAGCCTGAATATTTGCAAGGTCCAAATAAAAGACCTCTCTCCCAGGTCAAAAATCTCCCTAAAGAGCATTGCTGATTTCAGGGATTGGGATTCCTAAGCTTTCTTACCAGACAATGCCTTGTGGAACAATTTCCATGGTGTCTTTTCTTGCTCTCCTTTAAATATCCTCAGAAAACTCACCTGCCCTGTGAAACTGTTATTACCACTGTTTATCATAATCTTCCCAAACTGATGGCCCAAATATCTTGGATTACAACTTCCCTTTTCACCCATCAGGATCTGTCCTAGGAATGATACAAAGGTCTACATGTGGGACTTTTGTATATTTAGGCTTCCCATTGTCCCCCTTCCTCTGTTGTGTTTGGAAACTTGGCTCTAGTTTATGGAAACCTTTCTCCTTCCTCTCTCCAATTCTGCAGTACTAACTTTTGAATGATTTATTGCTGATTTACTCCTGCAATTATTGCGCATATTCCCTGTGCCATAATCTGAATTTACATTTTAGAAATTGACAGGAAAAAAAAATAAAGTGAGATATTTTTCAGGCAAAGAGAACAATATAAGATGGTTTCGGCTACATGTGGTTAAATTGGGTTCACTAACTATGTTAGAATTTGGGAACTACAAGAGTACCGCAAAGGCTTCAAGAAGAACTTTAGAAGAAGTCAAAAGCATGACCTTTAAATTTGAAGATAGCTGTAGACATGAGAAATATTGAGGAAGAAAGCAGACAGCTTCTGTTTACCTAGTAATACCATCTTGGTGATGAAATAAATGTTGCAATGAGAGAATAGCAGTCTGGGGCAAGATTCAGAATATGCTATGCCTGGTATTAGTTGGTTTGGTTTTGTACAATTTGTGAAGTCAGCTTTTTGTTTTTTGGCACAGGATTTGAGGACAAATCCCTTTCATTCACTGAATGGATTATTAAGCAAACCACAATTTTGGCTCCCCAGTTTTGGCTCTGGCACTGGAGAAAAATAACAGGTATTCATTCATGAAAATAATTGCAGATACTGTTTTGTGTGAAATTTGTATCAGATCTGATCCCTCCTCATGTCTTAAAGAAACTTCTTGCAAAAGAGTTTGACTTCTTTCCCTAACTACCATATAAAAGTTGTTAATGCACATATACAGCCCAATTTTCAGAGAAACAAGGTAGACATTTTATGAAATTTAATACACTGTCTTATCAAATGTTTCTGCACAATGTTTATTTTGCTTTCCATTCTTTTTTAGAAGCAGAGAAAATAGAACTCTTGGGAAATCTACATAATTTCTTCTGTCTGATTCCCAAGAATCTCTTGGGAATGAAGGAATCCTCTTACTCATTGGTTTACTATCTATAATATTAGTAGTATATCAGTGTCAAGAATTTTTTTGGGTCAGGGAATATAACTGCATGAGTTTAAAAATACATGTTTAAGGGCTGGTGAATTGTTATTCTGCAGTCCATAAATCTTTGGTGTGTTTACTTTAGGTTTTTCCCACTGCCATGTTAATACTGCTTGCATTGGGAGCTGTTTTTCCAAAAATAGTAGCCAGGGGACCGGATGAAAATCTTCACAATGGCAGCAATGTTTTGCAAGAACCAAGGTATCCTTATGAAACCATCATGTTGCCAGAAGAACATATCCCATATTTTTTACACAATAATCCAGGCATTGCCACTGCTTGCAGGCAAGATCCTCTTTGCCCATATAAAGTAAGTATTCCTTTTCCTACTCTAATGGAGAATTGTTTCAGTGTTAGAATCATGTCAGTTAAAAGTGATGTAAACATCAGATTAATTCCAATCAGTTTGTAACTTCTGTGGTAGAATAATTGTCACTGAAGATCGTAGATAGTGGATCCTTATTCCCAGATGATTGAAGAATAGGAAAACAATAGGAATACATGTATAGTGTTCACAAAGGAAGAATACGCAAAGTGGGCGCCTAGTGAACTATAATATCCTTCTCCTTGGGATCTGCCAATGCCCCATTCTCTTGACCTTCCAGAAGGCTATAAAAAGCGGGTTCTTCCTCTATAAATTGAAGTTGGAACTTGGGAAATAATACATTGGAGGAGGAGATTGGAGGCACCAAATATTAGCTTTTTTCTTTGTTTTGTTTTATTGCTATTGTGAACCTGCCAAAGTTGTATTTTTTAAGATGAGTGGCCTTCTTATATGTTGATATAACAAAGGTATGATGCATGGCTTGTGGCACTGAGTAATATGTTTTCTCCGTTGTATGTATTTATTTGCTGATGTGTTAGAACACACTTCCCTGATCTTCAAATTGCAACATCCAGAATGTCCAGCTAGAATGGATTTATAAGACAGTTTAAAAGGCTGTATTAGAATGATGTTTCTTTCTTTTGTAGTCTGGTGGGTATGATTTAAGAATATGATGTATTTGTAGATTTTTGCAAGCAATGAATATAAAATATATGTAGGGCTGATTTTTTAATTTTTGTTTTGCACCTTATCTGAGGATTTCAACAGGATTTTTTGAAATGTTCAGTCACATTTTCCAAAAGCAGAAATTGACCATCTTAATTGCATGGTTGTGTAAGTTAACTTTTATTGTATCATTTTAATGGTAACTCTCTATTGACAGAAACATTTGAAGAAATTGAAAGCTTGTTGGGGTTATGAGAAATCATGCAAACCAGAAAACAGGTTTGGATATCCAACATGTGATTATGTTGAAATTGGATGGTAAGTATGAATGAAAATGTATGAAATTAAATTTCATGTGAAATTCAGTGCTTAGGTATTATGTACTTACTGAACACCTGAACACATATCATGAGTGTTTTTGCAAAATGGCTACTATTGGGTGCTTGTGCATTCAGACAATGTCTGCCAGGATATCCTATGTTAACATGGATGCTTTAGAACCTTGCCTTTTTTAAAAAAGACATGTGAGATTCTTGATTTTTGAAAAAAAAACCAGATTTTGAATTAAAGAAGTACACTTTGGCTAAGATTTGTAGTGTGGATATCTCTATCTTTAAGAATACTGCATACGATTGTCTGGGACACTACACATCCTCTTCACGACCTATTTTCCTTGTTACCTTCTGGGAGGAGGCTTTGTGGGATCCGAAGCAGAACATCCAGATTCAGTCACAGTTTTTGTTCCATACAGTATCAACCTTGTGAACTCTAAAGCTTCCTCCTTCCATTATGTATTCAAGATGAACAATGATTAATATTTATAGGTTATTTATATGTAAGGGTGTAGGTCTATACATATGTTGTATATAGTATGTTTAAATGTGTGTTTTGTATGTGTACACTTTGAGAGCAAGGAACTAAATTTCATTTTTAATGTGTGCCATTGTGCCCACAGTAAAAAATGACAATAAAAGTCTATCTATCTATCTATCTATCTATCTATCTATCTATCTATCTATCTATCTATCTACCTACCTACCTACCTACCTACCTACCTACCTACCTACCTAAGTTAGCAACATGGAATCTTAAATTAGTTGGGTTTGAAAGGCGGGTCCTTGGTACTCTCTGATCTTCCTTGTTTTCTTGCAGATGTTTTATTACTCAGACTAGATAACATCATCTGTGCTAGTAAGCAGTGCAGTTTGCTGTCAGTTTATATTCTAGTTCAGTGGTGGCAAACCTATGGCATGGGTGCCAGAGGCGGCACTCAGAGCCCTCTCTGTGGGCACGCGCACCATCGCCCCAGTCCTAGGCCTTCAGCTGGGTTTTATAAAACTTTTTTGCTTTAGGCCTCCACCGCCATGTCCCCCCCCCCAAAAAAGGTTCAATCAGTCAATTTCAACTTCTCGTGGGGAAAAAAAGGTCTTGCAAAGTTGGAATTGATTGATTGAACTTTTTAGTCCCACCCAGTCTGCCATTACCATCACAGCCATGCCCACCTAATGGGCCACGCCCACTCAATGGGCCACATCCACCTGGCACTTGACGATACATAAGTGGGTTTTGGGTTGCAGTTTGGGCACTCAGTCTCTAAAAGGTTCGCCATCACTGTTCTAGTTGCTTGCCTGTCAGTGTTGGTGGGGGTGGTCTTAGAGATTCTTTGGTTGGGCTGTTTGCTGTTGGCTTTTTTAACAGTTTCTTGATTGGGGTATTGTTCACTTGATTATTGATCTGATGTTAACCTTGGAGTTAATCTATGCTGATCTGGGTGCTGGTTGCTGATGGCGAGGTGCTTGGGTCTTTTTGTTCCTTTTTGGGCTGGGTGATAGTCCCCCTTTTGCATAGTCTATACAACATATTCCCTGTGGAATGCATCTACGAACACCAGCTAGTAGTCAGAAGACATGATGAAAATTCTTTAAATTTTTTGATTTTACAACATATAAACAGACTTAACCACAGTTTCAGTTGGGAAAATGTGACCATCCTAAACCAAGCCAAGTTCAAAAACGCCAGGGAATTTCTAGAAGCCTGGCACTCTGACAAATCACCCACCAATAGACACGTAGACATTAACAACATCTATAGATTATGCAAAAGGGACTATCACCCAGCCCAAAAAGGAACCAAAAGACCCAAGCACCCTGCCATCAGCAATCAGCACCCAGATCAGCATAGATTAACTCCAAGGTTGACATCAGACCAACAATCAAGTAAACAATATCTCAGTGAAGAAACTGCCAAAGAAGCTAACAGCAAGCAGCCCAACCAAAGAATCTCTAAGATCACCCACACTATCACTGACAGGGTCAGCCATTAGAATATAAACTGAAAACAAACTGCACTCTTACTAGCACTGATGATGTTACCTAGTTTGGGTAATGAAATGTCTGCAAGAAAACAAGCAAGCTCAGAGAACACCAAGGACCCTTTATGTCAACCCTGAGCTACAAATATTCTCTTTTATTGGATTTGAAAGGAATTGTTGAATGACTGTTCCTGTCTGTTTGCAAAGCTTTTATACAGAAAAGTGAAGATAGCAGAATGTTGATGGAACGGCAGAGTTTTTCAAAGCACAAGTAGTTGGAGAAAGTCTGCAGGAAAACACTACTTTCCTCATACACACACCTGGTGTGTTCAACATATTCAGGCCAAAAACCTGAATTACGGGTGGTCCTAGACTTACGGCCACAATTGAGCCCAACATTTCAGTTGCTAAGCAAGACAATTATTTGTTCCCTTTTATGACCTTGCCACAGTTGTTAAGCAAATCACTGCAGTTGTTAAGTAACACAGTTCTTAAGTGTATCTGGATTCCCCATTGGCTTTGCTTCTCAGAAAGGGAATTATATGATCCTGGGATTCTGCAACCGGCATAAATACATGCCAGTTGCCAAGCATCCACATTTTGATCATATAATCATGGGATGCTGTGACAGTCGTAAGTGTGGAAATATGGTCATAAGTCACTTTTTTCAGTGCCATTGTAACTTTAAACAGTCACTAAGTGAATTGTTGTAAGCTGAGGACTACCTGTACCTGGGAAGGAAAACTATTAATTTCCTGGCAGGAAGTGGGTAATGAAGAAATGAGTGAGGCCATAAAACACGAGAAAGCATTAAAATGATTTTAATAATGTATAGGTAGACTAAAAAAAAAAACCTAAAAGCTAAAAAGGACAGATAGAACAATGTTAAGGAGAGTAGAACTGGGCCATTTTATCTCAGTCTCTTCCTTTGTTTATTTATTGCATCATTTCTGTTCTTCATTTTCATCCTTTAGTGGAAATGAGAAAAACTCTTGGATATAAAAAGACAGAGGAAGCTTCTTTTTCTGAGTAGATCATTTCCTAATTCACACAAACAAATTGTTTTTTAAAGTTTCCATGAAGGGAAGTGAGGCCAGTCCAAACAAACCCAGGAAGTGGGGCCAGTCCATGCAAATCAGTGGAAGAATTCAGATTGTGATCAGGGCACTAATATGCCCTTGAACATGCATGAAAGCAAATACAGTGCTCTTCCACTTATTAAATTAGAGAAGGATATTATTTTGCTTGAAACTTTAAGAAAATTAAGTTGCCGAGGAAGGCAATTTATTGTCCCCATGTGGAAGGTTAAGGGCTTTATAAGTGCCTTGCAGCGTTGTACATAGTGAAGACTGAAAGTCAGGCCATCTTATAGGCATGGAACTAGGCATACATATACACACAGTTCACCAATCTGGGACCACAGCTCTACAAATTATGTATTCAGTAGTTTCTAGAAGTAAATCCTTCACATCTGAAAAAGTTTGAGGCAGTCCAGGGTCTTCCAGTCCTGAAGGAGACCATCTTGTGTCTGGAACTATGTTCAGAACACCTTGAATTGATTCAGATTATTTACTTCAAGGAAAAACTGAATTCCCCTCCCCCTCCCTGGGACATCATGGAATTGAGGAGATTCATCACAGGTCAGAACAAAAAGAGATTTTTCTGATGGAAATGGAACTGTTTGTTCTTGGATCATTTTTTTTTTAAAAAATGTTCCTTAAGATAGCCCAATATATTGCTAGCTTTATGAGAGTTGTACAGTAGTCCAGTCTAGATGAGAGACGGAAGAAATTCCCATCTTTCTCTTATTTTTCAATCTCTTATATTTCCCTTGGATCTGTTCCAGAATGGGATGGAAAACAGCAAAGGCAAATATTTTTTTGCTCTTACATAATGTTAGATACATTCCCATGATTCATAGCCAAAAATTCTCCACACTTTTCAACAAAAATCATTCTATTTAACTTGCTCTGCTTCCCTTCGGTCAACTCCAACATTCTCATGTTTGTTCTGTTTTTAAATATTCAGTGATGTCCATATGCATACCAAAATCTGAGAAGGATAGTCATAGCTTTTAAACCTTCTGACTTGTTCCACAAATATATATTAGAGAGATAAAGCAACTTTTAGATATTAGGGGTCTAACCTGTAGAATAGAATAATTAATCTCTAGTAAAAGGTTGGCCAGAAAAGGCTCTAATACTGGAAAAGATGGAAGGAAAGAGAAGAAGATGACCAGCAGCAGGGGGAATGGACTCTGTTACACTGGTGATAAGTCACGTTGAAAGACTAGAAAGGCCAAATTAGGGATAGACCATCACGGAGAAGATCTGTCTGTATCAGGGATGTCAAACTACCAGCCCAAGAATCATCATCTAAAGCAGCGTTTCTCAACCTTGGCAACCTGAAGATGTGTGGACTTCAGCTCCCAGAATTCCCCACCCAGCACTCTAAAGCCCACACATCTTCAAGCTGCCCAGGTTTTGCATCATGGCAAAACCGTGCCCACCCCATTGCCGGCAATGGCAAAAAAGTCGTGATACGTCGCGAAACGTCACGTGACGTTGCAAGTTTGACACCCCTGATCTATGTGGTTGCTAGAAGTCAAAAACAACTTGGTGGCACGCCATCAGTCAAATAGCTGGCCATCATTGCCTTGATTTGGCAACTGAGCAAACTTTTGTAATACCAAAGTTATCCTTTTTTAAAGGGTTTGCTTATTTTTTGTTTTAATCAAGGCATCCATAAGTATTATTTTTCTGCACAGAGGGAGAAAAGGTGAAAACAATATCCTTTTCATTGCTTCACTAATTTAGGGCATTGTTTATAAGATTATGCACTAGACCCTAGCAGTCTGTAGCCTGAGGTTCTCCTATCGTTCACTTTTCTCAAAGAGATTCCTTTGTTTTGTTTTGTATGCCAGGGCGAATACTATTGAGCAGGCCCAGGTTATTTTCTGGAAGCAAGCGGATTTCGGTTATGTTAAAGAAAGGATGAAAGATATGAAGACTCATTGCAAGCCTAAGAATGGGGTAGGCATATTAGTCTGTTTATTTTTTTTTTATTTACATAGAATATACACCACTCTAATTAACTGAGTGGTATAAAATTCCCCCGGATTTCTAATTTGGGATTAAAATGAGCTAATTAAATTTTAAAACTAAAACCGTTCATTAAAAAAACGCTACATGAAATCTGGGAGTTAACATTCAAAATATAATAAAACTAATACATCCTCTAGTGCAGGGGTGTCAAACTGCCGGCCCACGGACCGGATGTGTCACACGGAAGCCCTACCCATCCCATTGCCGTCAATGGCAAAACTGTCCCAATACGTTGCACGATGTCACAAGTTTGACATGTCTGCTCTAGTTCAGTGGTTCTCAACCTTTTTAATGCCGCGACCCCCAACCGGTCGTAAGTCAAGGACTACTCAACCAGTCGTAAGATGAGGACTACTCAACTGGTGCAGCACCGTTTGCAGAATGGGACTTTTGGCGGGCTCAGCAGGGCAGAGACAGCCTGGACAATTCCTATTGGCTTTTGAAAGCCAATAGAATTAGATCTATTCAAGAGAGTCTATTCTATTGGCTTTCAAAAGCCAATAGAATAAAAGGGAGTAGCACAGCTAAGGAAAAGGGGGAAAAATGGCGGACTGTGTTGTTTGGCGACCCCCGTGAAATGGTCGTTCGACCCCAAATGGGGTCCCGGCCCACAGGTTGAGAACCACTGCTCTAGTGGGATAGAGTCTTGGTGGAATAACCAAATCTTCACCAACTTTCTGGAAACTGGGGGTGGGTAGGGGTGTTGTTTCAAATATTTAGGGGGACGCTTATCTCAATTCTCAGCAACTGAGAAGTCATGTGTTCATAGCCCAAATAGGGACAATCTCTAATCAAGGGACTATGAAATCCTTTCATCTAAAGCAGCGTTTCTCAACCTTGGCAACCTGAAGATGTGTGGATTTCAGCTCCCAGAATTCCCCACCCAGCACTCTAAAGTCCACACATCTTCAAGCTGCCCAGGTTGAAAAAACACAGATCTAGATTTCACTGGGTGGGTAGATGTCCTTAAGAGCGAACAGTCGTCCAGTTAGGTCAGTGTTTCTCAACCTTGACAACTTTAAGGCATGTGAACTTCAACTCCCAGAATTCCACAGCCAGCACTGCTGGCTGTAGAATTCTGGGAGTTGAAATCCACATGCCTTAAAATTGTCAAGGTTGAGAAACACTGAGTTAGGTAGTTCTCCATTTACTTGTGTAAAGAAGGTTCAGGATTATGGCAGTCTTGGAAAAAGTGACTTATGACCAATACTGTCACTTAAACTGTCATATTACCTCCGCGGTTCTGTGATCACAATTTAGACCCTTGGCATCTGGCTTACATTTATCATTGGTTGCAGTATTCTGCTGTCACATGATTATTATTTGCGACCGTTTTTGCAAACTTTGGCACAGTATGTCCATCGGGGAAGCTGGATTCACAAGTGCAATGATTTGCTTAATGACCGTCATTAAAAGTATCACAGAATCAGGTCCGACTTAACAACTGCAACAACTTAAGATGGAAATTCTGGTCACAATTGTGGTTGTAAGTTGAGGACTTCCTGCATCCGGGTCTTAAACCCTGAAGTGTTTTTTTTTTTTTAGATTACAGCCAGCATGTTGAACTATAAAGATTGTGGTTTGTGTACAAGATGGGAACTGTGCAAAAGTTTGGATTCAAAGACAAAAATGTCTTGTTGAACATGGGAACAGGCAATGTTGGCAATCACCATCATCTCAGCCCCAGCGAGTGACCTTTTTATATTAAAATCCATAATGCTGCAGATTTTTTTATTTAGTTAAAATAATTCATTTTCACTTGTCAGCCAACCACATCATAGTAACCCACAGATGTCATTTTCTTTCAGGGAGATTCTTCACTTGAATGTTCTCGTTACCTTCAGTATTGCAAAGCAACACATTTATATATTGATTTAAGGCATCCAGAGAGAGACCATGATAGGTTTGTGTTATCTTCACGTTTCATCATTATTTAATAATTCTGTTCAAGGAATTGCGTTCTAAGTTTAAGGCACTTGAGCATGCACAAAGTCCTACTACTTTTCTTCTTTTATTTCCACTTATTAATACATCAATATTGGGGCTCAGAAATCTACAGCATTTAACAGAGGGTGTTACTGATTTTCATAGCTGTAGAGAAAAGCTTGAAGAATGAATTACTGTAAGAAGCTTAAAGGATCAGAAATAATCTACTGCGTTTCCACGAGGGAACAGATTGTACTTAACCACCTTTATCAGTGCAGTATGTTGTTTGCCACCCTCAACTATTGCTTCTTATAAGCAATTGCATTAGATCAGATTAGATTTGTGGGCTATCTGCCTCACTAATGTCAACCCTGACTGGTAAAATTTTCAAGAAGTTCAGATCCAAAGAATCTTGAAGTTTTCAGCAATTCAACTTCTTCATGTCAAACTGCGTAAGCTGCCCAGAATCCCTTTTTGTGAGATACAAATATGCTAAAGAAATAAAGCTCATGTTCTTCTATTAAATGGTAACCGTATTATACAACACCTCGGTTTCTGATAAGCAACATAGAATTCACCATTCTAAATGTACTGTGAGCATTGCAAATTTTGAAAGGGCCAAATAAGTAAATACTTTTTTTTTTTTGTACGTAGTGGTTCCTATAACTCTCCCTTGTTCAAAAAAACCTTTCTAACTTTCTAATTTGGGAAGACCCCTGCTGCAGCACAAGGAACTATTGTCAGCTTTAAGAGAGAGACTTTCAAATACAGTACATAAGTTGGAAATACAGGAATAAATCTTAAGCTGGAGGTTTACAGTCCCGGCAACCAAGGTGGAATTTTCACACCACTGTTAAGCTTTGTGTTTGCAGCAAAGTAATTCCTCTTTATCATCTATTGGTGTTTCTTTGAACCCTGTGAAACTTCAGAACACGACATTTGTATCCTTCTTTTTGAGGCATCATAATAAACCAAAGCCTGTGGAGGCCATATCTTCAGCGATATATTTGGAGAGAAAGGAATTGCTCATGACTCCTTATGTATTGAATTGTGCATGGAAATACACGGTAGTACCTGAACAAGCTAACAACTCCTTAGAAATCTTGTTTGTTATAAAAAAGAAAAATATTTTTGTATATTGATTGCTTCCACGGGGAGGAAAAACCATTGAAAATGAGCTAGATTTCTTTCCTTATGATCTGTTTTAAGATTCTAGCACATTTAAAACAAAGCTTTCGCGTCTCATGCTATGAGAAAGCATTTTCTAAATCCTAAATTTCAAAAATGAGCTTTTAATTTATTTAATCTTGTTTTAACCTTCTTTCCTTCACTGGTTAGATTTAATGAAGATTTCTTCAAGAAGGGTCAAATAGGTGGCCATTGCAATATGAATACTAAAGCTTTCCTTGCTGAAGGGCAGCAAAAGAGTCCTTTGCAATCTTGGTAAGTCCTGTGAGTATGTTCTTTTGTTTCTTCACAAGTCGTCTTGGCAGAATAGACACCTCGGATGCTCTTTTTCTGTTCCAGTAATCATGACTGAGCAATAGCAATAGCATTTAGACTTATATACTGCTTCATAGTGCTTTACAGCACTCTCAAAGTGGTTTACAGAGTCGGCATATTTCTGCCAACAATCTAGGTCCTCGTTTTACTGAGTTCAGAAGGATGGAAGGCTGAGTCAACCTTGAGCCAGTCAGGATTGAACTCCTGGCTGTAGGCAGAATCAGCCTGCAATACTGTATTCTAACCACTATGCTACCATGTTGTAAGATGTAAGTTTTTTGCACCTTTTTCAGCTGGTGTTTACTTTTGGAATATTGGGAGCATGCTCAAATTATGCTCAGAAAATGTGTCTCAGGAGAGTGGGGAATTTGCTTATTTACCAAATAGCTGCCATTACGAGTTTGGCTTGCTAGAAAAATTCTCTTGTCAAAAGACAGAACTGATGAGGATGCTCCCCATCACTTATCCTAGCCTTTAGCACACTCTTTTTTTTGGGAGGGATAGGTAAATAAGCTTATAAACACAGCACAAAACTGCAATTACCTACAATTTTTATATTCAAAGGACATCCACCAAGACAATATGGGAGCAACGTTGTTTATTTATTTATTTTGAAAATATATATGGCTGCCCATCTTAAATACATAAATCTAGGCAGTTTATTAAAATACACTCAAAAAGCCCGTAACCAAACAAAAATATAATAGAAATAATCCAATACAAAAGGAAAGTGAGCTACTATGTAGTAGACTTACAGTGTTTATTTATTTGTAGTAGATGCATATGGCATCTACAAAAATCATGCAATCGCCGATGTACAAATTTAGTTTAAAGCATCAGCAATATATTGGACCCCAGATCCATATTTTGCAACTAAACATAGAAGGCTTAAGTAGAAATAAATGTGAGTACCTAAGCAGACTGGCCATAGATATTAGGATAGATGTTATAACTTATGTATTATAAGCTCCTCTAACATCCAAACTAATCAAGGAGAGAACCAACCTTGAACTAAAGAGAAATTTCCTGACAGAACAATTAATCAGTAGAACAGTTTGCCGTCCAAAGTTACGGAGCTCCATCACTGGAGGTTTTTAAGAAGAGAATAGACAATCATTTATCTGAAATGGTATCAGGTGTTTTGTGTGACAAGGGGTTGGACTAGAAGACCTCCAAGATCCTTTCCAACTCTGTTATTCTTTTATTCTGTTACTTAATGCCAAGGGAAATTAGCCAAGTCTTAATGACCTTCCCAAAAGCTAAGAGGGTTGGTGTTCTCTGAATCTCAGAAGGGAGGCTATTTCATAGGGCAGGCATTGTACAAAGTAGCAAGTTTCCTTAGTCCTGAAAGATGATCCTGTTTAATGAAGAGGATTTGGAGCTATCCTGTGGTAAGTCACCCATACAGAGTTTTTTGAAAGCTGATAATTCCTCATGGCAACTTGCTCACCCTAGACTCTTCTGTGAATCTCGCCAATTGGTCTCAAATTCTATCTGTTATGTACCTGCGGTCATTAATAACTATGTCTTTGCTGATATATCTTGAAATTCATGGTAAACACATTTGACATGAATCTTCCGATTAGCTGGACCTATGAAATCTGGATAGAGGGAATACTGTCTCTACTTTTCCCAGCCTTTAATTTATAGATCAAAAACATTGCATGTGTCTGAGTTCAAAGCAGAGCTTAACCTTTTGAAGCCTTATTGAAGAGGCTTCCATTACAATTAAAAATAATTTTAATGTCAAATTTGGTAAGACTTCATCAACAGTAGGAGAAGTGTATGTGGTGTATTGCTTAAAAAATCAGTCTAGAATACATTTTTGAAGCCTAATTTAAATGGTGGTAATTACAGGTTTGCGGAGCTCCAGACATACACAGAGATGAGCTCCAGACCATTGGAAGATGGCAGCTGTGAGGTCATTGTTGAGAAACCAACTTATTTCATGAAGCTTGATGCAGGTACAAGGTATTTCGATGTTTTCAAATTCCAAAGTGTAATCTCACTTTTCTATACTAATAAGAGGGGCTCTATTTCTGTAAATGTTAGGAGGTAGTAATTATAAGCTACAGGTAGTCCTTGACTTATGACTGTTTGCATAACGACCATTCAAAGTTATAATGGACTTGAAAAAAGTAACTTTTGACTTGTCCTTGAAATTACGATTACTCTACCATCCTGCCATCACATCACTGTATTTCATGTGCTTGGCAACTTGCTTGGGTTTATGACCAATTGCAGCATCCTGTGGTCATATGTTCATGTTTTGTGATGTTCTTTGCTGTTTATCGGCAAAAAATGCCCTTTGGATAAGCTGTATTCAGACTTGCGACCATGTGATTGGCTTAACAACCACAGTGACTTACTTAAGGACCATCATGAAAACAGTTGTAAAATTGAGTCTGATCATGTGGCGACTCAACTTATAACCCCAATGACTTATGCCAAAATTCCAGGTTCAATTGTGGTTGTAAATCTAGGACTACCTATACTCTGATTAATCTCTAAAGTTAGGGTTTCTTAACCTTGGTGTGTGGATGTCAACTCCCAGAGTTTCCCAGATGCTGGCTGTGGAGTTCTGGAAGTTGAAGTCCACGTATCTTAAGAGTTGCTAAGGTTGAGAAACACTGATCTAAAGGCTATTTGTGCACAAATCTATGCAACTGTTTAAAATACTGTTTCTATATAACTGTCAACTCTTATTGTAGTTATGCTCAGATTGATATGAACATGCCTTAATGACCTGATTCACACATAATGTGAATTAGTAATATACAGGCTTGGATATCATACTGAGCCCAAACTAGCAAAGCATATTACATTTCTATTGTTAAGTGAGTTTTGCCCCATTTTACGAACTTTTTTTGCCATAGTTAAGCAAATCACTCTAGTTGTTAAGTGTATTGTGCAGTTGTTAAGCAAATCTGGCTTCCCCCATTGATCACATGGCCTGGAACAGTGCAACTGTCCTAAATACATATCAGTTACCAGATTCTTGAATTTTGGTCACATGGCCAAAAACAATTTGTTCGTGTGAATTAGGAAATAATTTCACGTAAGTGTGAAAAATGGTCTTTAAGTCACCTTTTTCAGTGTCATAGTAATTATAGACAGTCACTAAATGAAGGCTATAAGTTGTGGATTATCTATATAGCTTGGAGTTCATTGAAATACGCTGGGCTGCACAAACTATCATAACTTGATTTTTTTTTTACTAAACTCATTAAGGTTTTCTTAAAATACAAACTGTTGGCTGTGTGTTCACACAAATTCCCCTTCTCTGTACACTCCCCATTTTGAAGATGGTGGTGTTTCTTTTTATCAAGAATATAAACTCCAAGATTACTGCTCTGATCAAATTAGTAGCTTCTTATGACTGGATTTCATTTAAAACCCATATGTTGCCAATAATAAATAGCTTGGGGCAATCTGGTCTCAAAGCTCATCTTTGTTCAGCTTCTTAAATGTGTTTTTAATGACAGATTCATGAATTAATTAAGTAATCCATAATTTTGTACCTCTATTTTTAGCACTGAGGCATGGGTGCACCTATGGGAACATATGTTTTTGCATAAAGTCCTAAGCCTTGTTATAAATGACTATCTATATAGTTCTAGTTATCTTTATTACAACAAACTTAATTTATCTTCCTTCTTTTAGGTGTCAATATGTACCATCATTTTTGTGACTTTGTAAATCTTTACATCACTCAGCATGTTACCAACACTTTCGGCACTGATATCAACATTGTTATGTGGGATACTGTAAGTAAGAGCATAAGGATAGTTAGGGTTAGGGTAGGACATAACATTATTTGAGGTATTATTTTTGTCTCAGGTAAACAGTTCCAAGTTTAGGATGAATTCTAGTTATGCTATCTTGGGAGGAATGTTAATTAGTCAGCTATAGACTGGTGTAAACTACTGCAAACAGTGAGTATGTTTAAATGAGGTATATTTCGGATAAGGCTATGCACAAGCAATAAGATTTGGCTTTTTTACTGAGCATTTTAATTTATATTCTTAATGCTTATCTTTTTTGGGGGGGTCTGTGAGTCTGTATTTCAACAAATCACTCCACATCCAGCCCAGAATTATGGTTGTGATTGTGATTGTAAGTTGAGGCATCATTTGACTGGATCTGATTTTTTGACATTTTTTGTGGTGGTTGTTAAACAAATGCCATGGTTGTTAAGGAAATGCTATGGTTAAATGAATCAATTTTCCCCAACGGGTGTTTTTTTTTTTGCCAGAAACCAGAAATAAATTTGAGAAAGCAGCAAAAAACATTGCAAATTGCACTCATGCGATTGCAGGATGCTGCAAACAGTCATAAAGGTGAGCTGTCTGCCAAGCACCCAAAATGCGATCACGTGACTGTGTGTGGCTGTCATAACTTTGAAAACGGGTTGGAAGTAGCTTTTGGGGAATCCATAATAATTTAGAATGGTTACTAAGTGACTAGTTGTAAATTGAGGACTACTTGCCTGTCTAACATGTGGTTCTGCTAGATTTCTCATTTGACTATCTCTTATTTAGGAAAAAAAAGCACTGTGTGTGCATTTTTGATAACATCTAGATAGTACTGTAATGGGAATTTGTCCTAAACTATGCTATTTTCAAAATTTGTTATGGTATTTTTAATTCCTACTATTGCCAGATGATGGTGCCAGTGTACTGTTTTAACTTACTGTATACAGCTGAAGCATTCTCTTTACGTAGGATGCATTAATTTAACCCTTATTAATTTTTTTCATTAAGTAAAACTGAACTTTTTTATTAAGTAAACTTTAACATGTACAACTTTCTACTCAAATGTTTGAAAAGTTTTAGCTTTTTACTAAAACTTGTTGAAAGTTCTAGAAAAGTGAAATGAAACAAATGCAGTTTAAAAATCATGCATTTAGCATGTTTTTGAACAAATATAAATGACAAATGGTCGTTATTTATAAAGGACCTTTGGTAATACTAAAGTATATGATGATAATATAGTTGCTGGGTCAGTTAGTATCTTCCAGTTGTATTGAACTCTGATTTTTATTTGGCATTGGTTGTGTTGATGAGCAGACCTCCAATATATTTCCAGTTTATAAAAAAAAACACCTTCATATTTATTAAAATATAATTGCAAACATATGTGGGAAAAATTATATTTCTTTTATATTCCTTTTTACCATATCTCTGTATTAATATTTTATCTCTTTTATGCTGAATTCTTTTAAAAATTCTTTCTAATCTTATTGTATGAACTTGACCCATACAAATTTGGACTATATTAAGGGAAAACCTATTGGCATTTGTTTTGTTTTTTTCAGAGTACATATGGATATGGAGATTTGTTCAGTGAAACATGGAAGGCATTTACCGACTATGAAATAATACATTTGAAATCGTATGATTCAAAAAGAGTATGGAATATTGTATCATTTTAAAACTTTACTGTTTTATTTTAAACATAATGAATAATTTGTTTTGTGGTGATTATGTCTAATGTTTGGTAGATATTAGTTTCATCCGATCTTTTGATTGCTGGAGTTGTAATAGTTAAAGATAACAATTGTCTGTTTGCAGCTGGCTCAGTTTCATAAACCAGGAAGTCATCTTACTTGGATTTGAATGAACCAAGGAGTTACATTATAGTTTAATGTAAGCTAGGAATGAATCCCAAAAGACAGGAAGGGAAAGGGAAAGAAAATGAAACTATAATAGTCCCTCCCAATTTCACAAAACATAATTTTATGAAACTTAAAAAGATTGTTGACTGACCACAATCATTTTCTGACATTCTAAATATTTTTTAAAAAATTCTATGAGAGGCCACTCTGGGCATGAAAACATAAACCACATTTGCTACTATTTGCAGGAAATAGCAAAAGCCAATATCAAAAGCCACCTAGAATTGCCTAGAATCAGCTTGGTAAGATGGGCAGCCTAGAAATCTAATAATAAATAATACAAACTTTTTTGTCTATGGTAGCAGAAATTAGTAAGTGGAAATGCAGTCTGGAATGGCAACATGATGCCAGTTACCTTTCAAAATTATGCCACAACTTCCACCATTAAACTAACATTATACAATACTTCTTGAAAGTATTTTATGTTATGAGAGTTTATAATTATCACATATCACAAGAGAAATCACCCATCTCCCAAAACAAGTGACTTTGGGCAATATACAACGTTACAAAAATATTCTGAAATACTTTCCATTGCAGTGTTAATAGATCCTACTTTGTAACAGAATAACAGAGTTGGAAGAGACCTTGGAGGCCATCTAGTCCAACCCTATGCAGGAAACCCTACACCATTTCAGATAAATGGTTGTCTAGTCTCTTTTTTAAAAACTTCAGTGTTGGAGCACCCAGAACTTCTGGAGGCAAGTCGTTCCACGAACTCTGATAGGAAATTTCTCCTTAGTTCTAGGTTGCTTCTCTCTTTTATTAGTTTCCATCTGTTGCTTCTTGTCCTGCCTTCAGGTGCTTTTGAGAGTAGGTTGACCCATCTTTTTTGGGGCAGCCTCTCAAATGTTGAAACACTGCTATCATGTCACCCCTAGTCCTTCTTTTCATTAAATTAAACATACCCAGTTCCTTCAACTGTTCTTCATATGCTTTAGTCTCCAGCCCCCTAATCATCTCTGTTGCTCTTCTCTGTACTCTTTATTTGCCTCTCTCCTTATATATATTAAGGAAAATCCTTGTAAATGGTTAATCTTCTTTTCCAGGTCTGCTTCAAAGAAGCAGTTTTTACACTATTGCCTCGAATGAGGTTTGGCTTGTTTTATAATACACCATTGGTGAGTAAATCTGGTGAGATTACCACACTCTTTTAAAAAAAAAAACAAGCAGAATATTTGGGTCTGAATAAACATGGTGATTTTTATTCTTCTCTCTCTCATTTAAAGCATAAACATGTTTACACTTTATTCCTGTGTCTGGTCTAACTGCAGATTTCCGGCTGTCATGGGACAGGATTATTCAGAGCCTTTTCCCAACATGTGTTGCACAGATTAAATATCACCCAAGATGGGCCTAAGGTACTAGTTTGGTTACAATAGTAATCCTTGACATACAACCATAATTTGAGCCAGGATTACAGTCATAAGTCATGCTTGTTGTTAAACAAACTTTTTTGTAGTGGTCATTAAATGAACATGATGGTTGTAATGTGAACATTGTCGTTATTAAGCAAATACTGCACTCATTAAGTGAGTCTATTGTCCTCAGTGGGTTTTTTGCCCGAAACCAGAAGTAAATGCTGGCTTCTGGCAATTGCAGTCGTGTGACTGCAGGATATTGCAAATAGCTGTGAATGCAGGCCAATTACCAAGCATGCAAAGTGCAGTCATGTGACCTGGGGGGGGAACCTGCTAAGCGACCAGTTGTAACTTGAGGACTTGTACTGAAATGAAACAGAAATTGTATGCTTTCCTTCCCCATTTCTGCTTCCAAAACTTTTCTCATAGCCTAACAGTGTTTCTTAAAGCAGGGTCAACATACCCCTGAGAGTCCTTTTAAGGGTCTATGAAATCAAAATTTATTTATAAGATTTTAATCATATTTGCAAAAATTTAAAACAATGACACTCTTTTTTTTTTTTTTTTTTATTGAAATTTTTCAAAAGTTTTACAAATAAAAATCCACCCCCCCCTCCCCAACCACCCCCCCCCCCGACTTCCCAGAACTGAATATAGGATTATTTAACAAATATTTTAAAAATAACATTTGCAATTTATAAAATAATTAATAATAATAATAAAAATCACAGTAATAATATATATAGAAATAATATACATAACATAAACTTTAAAATGAATAATATATACTAAAAAAGAAAAAAAATAAAAAATAAAAAGAGAAGAGAGAGAGAGAAAGAAGAAAGAAGAAAGTAGACGAAAAATAAAGCATATATATATATAAAAAAAAAATATATGAATAATAATACATTAAAAATGTATATATATAAAAAAGAAAAAGAAGAAAGAAAGAAAGAAAAAACAATCATTACAAATTATAAAAAGGCTAAATAATATTTTTCCATATCCAAATTATGTTGTATAAAATTTATCCATTTTTCCCATACCGCAAAAAATTTTTCTTGAGATTGCTCCTTTAAGAAAGCCGAAATCTTTGCCATTTCTGCCAAATACGAAACTTTATGAAACCATTCTTGTAAAGTAGGCAAAGATTCCTTCTTCCAATATTGTCCTATTAACAACCTAGCGGCTGTAATCAAATTTAACATCAATATAACCTCCTTAGCATCACAGTCAATAACAATACCTAGTAAAAATAATTGCGGAGTAAATTTTACCCTTCTTTTAAAAATTCTTTGAATATTCCACCATATCTTAATCCAAAAAGCTTTTATATGCTTACACGTTCACCAAATATGGTAATAGGTAGCATCCAAATATCCACATCTCCAGCATTTCGGCTGTAGATTATGGTACATAATGGACATTTTCATTGGGTCAAGGTGCCATCTATAAAACATCTTATAAAAGTTCTCTCTTAAATTTTGCGCTTGTGTGAATTTAACATTTCTTATCCAAATAAGTTCCCAAGTATCCATTGAGATCGTTTCACCAATATTCTGTGCCCATTTAATCATACAATCTTTAACTAGTTCAAGTTCTGAATCTAATTCCACTAAAACCCCATAAACTCTCTTAATATGGGTTGGCCTTTGATCTCTTACTTGTTTTAAAAAAATTCCATCTTCTCTAAGCCAGCCCATTTTACAATCCATCTTCCATCTATCCACTATTTGTCTATATTGGAACCATGAATAAATTAAGTTTTCATGTATTAATTCTTCCAAAGATTTTAACTGCCAGTCTTGGCCATCCCATCTTAATAACTGTACGTAAGAGACCTTGTCCATATTTACCCCTTTCCTTATACCTTCTATGGCATGCCGAGGTATAGCCCATAATGGTATTTTGAAGTCACTTTTATAATACTTTCTCCACACTCTTAGCAAAGAGTTTCTTATAATATGAGACTTAAAAACCCAATCCACTTTTTTATTAAATATTAAATAGGCATGCCATCCAAAAAATAGGTCCCAACCTTCCAAATGAAGTATTTCTGTATTTGTTAAATTCACCCAGTCGCTAATCAATGTCAATACTACAGCATCATAATACAATTTCATATTTGGTACCTTGAGTCCACCTCTCTCACGAAAATCTTGCATTATTTTAAGTTTCACCCTTGGTTTTTTCCCTGCCCAAACAAATTTATTAATACCTTTTTGCCATTCATCTAAATTACGTTCGTTCTTTAAGATAGGTAACATTTGGAACAAAAAAATAAACTTTGGCAGGACATTCATTTTAATAACTGCAATTCTGCCCATAAGGGATAACTGTAAATTATTCCAGTTTTTTAAATCCTTCTGTACCTCCATCCACAGCTTTTCATAATTATTTTTATACAATTTTACATTAGAAGCAGATAATGTAACCCCCAAATATTTTACCTTATCAACAATTTCAAAGTCTGTTAAGTTAACTAGAGCCTGTTTATCACCATTAGTCATGTTTTTAGCTAATATTTTGGTCTTATTATTATTAATTTTAAAGCCAGAAACACGTCCATATTGTTGAATCAATTGTAATAATTTCACCACCGAAGAAACAGGTTGAGACAAAGTAACAACCAAGTCATCTGCAAAGGCTCTTAATTTATATTCTTTTTTATTAATTTCTATTCCTTTTATTTCTTGAGACTCCCGAATTTTAATCAACAAAATTTCCAGTGTTAAAACAAACAATAACGGAGACAACGGGCATCCCTGTCTTGTTCCTTTTTCTATTACAAAAGCCTCTGACAAACCCCCATTTACAATAATTTGAGCAGTCTGTTTTTGATATATATTGGATAATACTTGTAATATATTTTGTCCAAAATTCATCTCCTTGATTAAACACAGCATAAACTGCCAATTCACTTGATCAAAGGCTTTTTCAGCATCCAAAAATATCAAGCCTGCAGAGACTTGGTTATTCTTTTCTAAATACTCTAATAAATTAATAATTTGTCTAACGTTATTCTTCATATACCTTCCAGTTATAAAACCCGATTGATCCCTATGTATAAACTGCTGCAAGATCCCCATAAGCCTGTTAGCTAAAATTTTTGCAAAAATTTTATAATCCACATTTAAAAGAGATATAGGCCTATAATTTTTAGGCAAAGTAAGATCTTGACTATCTTTTGGAATCAATGATATAAATGCATTACGCCAGGATGGAGGGATCTCTAACCCCTGTAATAAATTATTAAACAGTTCACACAACGGTTGGATCATCTCTTCTACTAAAGCTTTATAATAAATAGATGTCAACCCATCCGTACCCGGCGCTTTGCCCAATTTCAATTGTTTAATAGCTGTAACAATTTCTTCCTTAGTAATTAAACCGTTAATCTTTTTTTCCTGATCTTCTGTTAATTTAGGAAAGTTGACTTTGCCTAAATAATTATTTATATCTGTAATTTGAATATTGGTACCCTTATATAATTTTTGATAGTATTCTAAAAAAGATTTCTTAATCAATTCTTTCTGATAAACCAATTTACCATTATAATTTATTTTATCTATATTCCTCTGTTTCTGTTTTTTTCTTAACTGATAAGCCAACCATCTCCCTGGTTTATTAGCATTACAAAATGTATTTTGTTTCATAAATAGCAAATTAGTTGCAGCTTGATCAGCCATCAGCATGTTAAATTGTGTTTTTAACAATTTTAAAGCTCCTTTAATCTTTTCATCTAAGGGATTTGAAATTAAAAGTTTCTCTTTTAATTTAATCTCCTCTTCCAAGTCTTTCCGTTTCTGAATCTGTTTCTGTCTATGCAAATTATTCATTTTTATCAAAATACCACGCATAAAAGCTTTACTTGCATCCCAGACCATTGACATTGATGTTCCCTTGTTCATATTTAAAGTAAAATATTCCTTTAAACATTCCTTTAATTTATGAACATTTTTTTCTTGTTTAAATAAATTCTCATTCACCCTCCAGGATCTCCTATCTTCCTTCTCTACAAACAGTTCCATCCAAACTGGACTATGATCGGACAATGTCCTAGGAAAAATTTTTACATTCTTCACCCTGTTGTATAAATCTGTTGTGATCAAAAAGAAATCAATTCTTGAGAAAGATTGGTGTCTATCTGAGAAAAACGTAAAATCCTTTTCTTCTTGATTACGTTCACGCCAATAGTCTCTCAATTCCCAATCTTCTTTCATGTCAAAAAAGGCTTTAGGTAATTTAGCCTGTTTAAAAAAGGTAGAAGAGCCTTTTTTGTCCATTTGTATATCTAAGACACCATTCCAGTCTCCCATTAAAATCACGGATCTATAGTCCAACAAAGTTATTTTCTGATGTAGTAACCTATAAAATTGCTCCTGTTGCTGGTTTGGTGCATACAACCCCACAATAAGAATTTTCTTGCCATATAAACCAAGTTCAAGCATAACATATCTTCCATAAGGATCTGATTCTAACAAGGTAGCAGATAAATTCTGTTTAACATAGATTACCACACCCCCTTTCTTCCCAGGGGCGGGAGATACAAAATGAGATCCCAAGCGAGGATTATTTAAATATTTTTGATCTTTAGCTGTAATATGAGTTTCTTGCAAGCAAATAATATCATTGTTGTGTTGTTTCAAATAGTGGTAAATTTTTTTTCTCTTTTGAGGAATGTTTAATCCATTAACATTCCAGGACAGGAGCTTTGCCATCTCCCTTGGCCTTCAGCCTGGAGAAGATCCGCTCAAATTCTGCTGCTGATGAATATGTAGCAGAGCTTTTGGGTCTTGCTCCTCCCACCGGCACTGAAGCAATTTGCTGAGTAGATTCTTCAATTTCTTTTTCTTTTTCTTTTTTCTGTTGTTCTTTTTCTTTACGTTTATGTGCTGCACGGGTCATTCTCTGTTCTTTAACCTCTGGTTGAGACATCCATACCACCTGTCCAGCAGTCATCATCCCTGTACCTTCAGATTTCTGTTCCATCTCTTTGTCACTCAAGACTTTATGCATCATGGGCAAAGGAGAGCCTGCTCCCAGGACCGTTTTATAAAATTCCTTAGCTTTAGCAACTGTATTAAGTCTATAACGTGTCCCCGCATGGCTCAAAACAATGCCCATCGGAATCTCCCATCTAAATGGCATTTGTCTTGCTTTAAGTTCATTTACTAAAAAAGCAAAATCTTTTCTGCTTCTTAAAATTTTAGGTGGAATTTCCTTTAAAATAATAATATCTTGGGCAGCAATCTGAAATCTTTTATTATAAAAAGTTTGTAGAATCTGATTTCGCAAAGACTTCTTAGCAAAATATATCACCACATCTCTAGGCAAATTCCTCTGTTTTGCAATCCAAGAATTAACTCTATAAATTCTTTCCACATCCCCACGTAACTCTTCTTTATCAATATTCAAAATAACAGCCAAGTCATTAATCACCATTTCCATCAAATCTTGAGTTTTATCTTCTTTCAGACCCCTTATTCTCAAAGCATATTCCATCTGTCTATACTGGAACATAAGAATATCATCTTGTGAAGTCTCCACTTTTTTCTCCATATCTTGAAATTTATAATCCAAAAGTTCAACTGTTTCTTCAATTTCCTCTACTCTGGAGTCCAGCTTCACAACCACTGAGGCCATTCCAGATAGAGCTAGAAGTATATCATCCCTCAAAATAGCATTATTCTGTTCTAAAAGCTCCTTCATCTCTTTCTTCATTTCCTCCTTAGTTTCAGATTTATTCTGATCCAAAAGTTGTTTCATTTCCTCCCTAAACTGTGAGACAGCACTTACCATTATTTCTTTAATGTCTTGTGCTGATGTGCCAGATGGGGGAGGTGAAGGTGGAGTAGATTTAGGTTGCTGCACTGAGGGTATTATTTTAAGTTGTTGTTGCACAGTAGAAGTAGCAGGAGAAGAAGTTACTTTAGAAGCTGCAGTAGCTGGTTGTCGTTTTGAAGCCATTTTAATTTATCTTCCTTTCTTCTTAAAAATACCAATAAAAATAAGTAATCCAAAAAAAAATTAAAAATAAGATAAAATAGAATAAGATAAGATCAATCTAAAAGTCCCCAAGAATAAAAAAGTAAAAAAAGTAAAAAAAAAGCAATATTAAACAACAATTCAGCCGATCCGTCTTTTAAAGGAAAAAAAAACTTTCAAAACGCCATTTTACTTTCACTCTCACTTTTCCGCCCAAAAAAAAAAGAGAAAGCTCAAAAAAATAAAAAAAAATCAGCAGATACTAAATAAACTAAATAAACTAAAAAAAATAAAATAAAGCTAAACTATAAATAAAATCCTTTAAACAGTTCTGTCCGGTTTAAGATTACTCACGGTTTCTTTAAGTACGGAGATGGTAGCGGCGTCTCGCTTTGTTTCCGAAGAAACAAAGACAGCTGAGAGGCGGAGAAGGCAATGAACTCCGAGGGAACCCTCTTTCTACCCCCCTAAAAATAAAAATCCAGGGAGAGTTAAGAGGTTCTACCTCTATTCATGCGATCTCTACCCCTTCCCTTCGCCCGGGAAGGGGATTGCGAGCCGCGGGCCAGCTGATAAACGCTGTGCTCCGCGGATCTGACACCTTCTCAGGAGGACGGCTACAAAGTAGCCGCCATCTCCACCGCTTTGACCACCGGAAGTCCAACAATGACACTCTTCTAATTGTTACTTTTATTTTAAAAATACTAGGATTTTTAATGGAAAATATATTAGTATTAATGGATTTAATATTGCTATTTTACATGACTCAATAAATAACTATTCTATGAATGTGTCCATTATAATTTTCAATACAGTAAATATAACCCACATAAACAAAACCTCTTTTGGGGTCCTCCATAATTTTTTAAAAGTAAGAGGGAATCCTGAGAGAAAAAAAAAGTTTTAAAAACTGTGGCCTCACAGTTCTGATATCCTGTATCAGTATTTGTATTTTAAGTATTCTTATTTTTACTTGGGAAGACACTATAGAGAATTCTGTATTTGAAAAAATGGCTATTGCCAGAAAATTGTATTAGGACAGAAGAAAGCACAAGTTAACCCCGCCCCTCACCTCCTAGCTATGTAATTGGTTGAGAGTAGCTTTGAGCCAATCATTGCCTCTCAATTCAAGTTACCCACAAGATTGTAAGGGTATTGTTAAGTGCAGGGAATCAGAAACCGAAGCAGTTCAAATGAATACAGGTTTATTGCATGCTAACACTCTCTACCAGAAGCTGAATGTCTAATGGTTGAAGTGAATTGGCAGTAGATAAGAGTCAATGGAATTCAAGGTGGGCTGGATTTAGATCTCTTATGGGGACTCAAGACTGATGATGCGCTTGACCCTTCCCTTGGGCTCAGCCTGGTCATCTTCTACAGGTAGTCTTGCAGGGTTCAAGCAGATGCTGGCTATATGCATGCTTAATGGAGGTACAGAGGAAAGAGAACATAAAATGCAACAAGCAAATAACAATATATAATGATAATTAGGATAGGACCTTGGACATCGAAATCCAGCACCTCTGATATATCCAATAGCCCCAGAATAATTTTCACCAGTCAAGAGTTTCCTTTTGTTCTACTAGGACAGTGGTTCTCAACCTTTTTAATGCCGCGACCTCAACCGGTCGTAAGTCGAGGACTACCCAACCAGTCATAAGTTGAGGACTACCCAACCAGTCGTAAGTCGAGGACTTTCCCTGCCTGGGAGCGCCATGTATGCGTGGTGCCGTCCCCTGCGCCAGCCGAGGTGTAGCTAGCAAGCAGCAGAGATGGCGCAGGCCGACCACCGGCTGGGCCACCAGCTGGCCCAGCCCAAGGGAGGTAAGGCACCTGCTGGGCCCCACGTGCACCAGCAACCCTCCCTGCACCCGCGGGCCTCCCACCTCCCATCCCTGGCCCTCTTTTACTTACATTTTTAGTAGTTGCTCAGCAGGGAGGGGTGGAAACTTCCAGACAGCTTGCCTTCGCTGCAGACAACTTGCAGCACCGTTTGCAGAATGGGACTTTTGGCGGGCTCAGCAGGGCAGAGACAACCTGGACAATTCCTATTGGCTTTTGAAAGCCAATAGAATTAGACTCTATTCAAGAGAGTCTATTCTATTGGCTTTCACAAGCCGATAGAATAAAAGGGAGTAGCACAGCTAAGGAAAAGGGGGAAAAATGGCGGACTGCGTTGTTTGGCGACCCCCGTGAAATGGTCGTTCGACCCCAAATGGGGTCCCGACCCACAGGTTGAGAACCAATGTACTAGGAAGTCTATTCTCTAAAAGCCACTGTCGTGGTTCCTATAGACGAGACCAACTAAAACAGAACTCCAAGGCTTGAGTTTTCCTCTAAGAACATGTTTATTGGTTACAAAGTATCAGCACGGTCAAAAGTGAAACCAAGACTAAAGTTCCCTCCCAAAAGTTACATTAATACAAAGTTAAACTTCCCACCCCAGTACTATACAATCAACTATGTTCACCAATGGAATAGTTTGGCGGGTTTTCTAACATAAGATTCAATCCCCGTCTAACAAACAGAAATGACCTTGGTTCCTACAGGACAGAGAATTGTTTAGACTAGCATAAAACTGCACATCCCTCCCCTCACTCTTGTGGCAACCACAAACGAGCAAGATGGCTTCAGCCAGGTTTGTTGCAGAGTTGAAAGCCACCTGATAAATCCTTGATCATTGTTTGTTTCCTATTCAGTAATTTTGCTGATTTTTCAGTTAATTTGGCTGTTATTTTTGTCAGTTTTTACAGGCTGTGAAAGAAAAAATCAGTTCAGTTCCTTAAAATATTAACAGCATATTCATCACAAGGGGCTAACATTTTTCAGTTTTTCACAGCCATTTGCTATACATTTCCTGCTGGTCTTAATAGATTTCATGCCGTTAAACCTTTGTAGTCCTTTTTTTTTTTTACAATTTACCCCTGAGAATTGAAGGATTTTTAAATTGGGAAGGAAAATAACTTTATTTGGAAGGCTAATCTTAATTTTTCCTCCGTTACTCACCTGTGTATTAAGTGGCCCTGTTTGGTTTCAGTAATAGTATTCAATGATGTTGTCCATTTTATATTCAATAAATGTAAATTATTTAAAAGCCTATGCCTCTTCAGGCACAGAGGTAGCTGAAAGTCCCTTAAATGGCTTAGCTGTTTGTGGCAAATACTCCTACTAAAACTTCACCTGAGGTGTTTACAGCCTTCTTACATGTTATATAAATATAAATGAGGTGATTAAAAGAAAAAGACAGTTTAATCACCCTACTAATTGTTGCTGTTAAGGCTAGTAATTTTTTCTGTTATCACTCTACTGGTCCTTTTCTTTGTTTTGGTGCAATGAATTGATTAATGAACTGTTTTTGCTGAATTTGTTTGTTCTTGTTTTTGAATAGGATGGGAAAATCAGAGTTACAATACTTGCCCGGAGTACAGAGTATAGAAAGATATTAAACCAGAATGAGGTTTGATTGGTTTTTTCTTCTGTTAAATCTCTTTGCTTTATGGTTGTCACTTTAATATTGCCTTGAACATTTTTTGTTTTTTCCTCTCCCTCTTTAGCTTGCCAATGCTTTGAAAACACTGCCATTATTTCATGTCCAAATAGTGAATTACAAGTACAAGTAAGTATATCTGAAAGGAGAAGTAGAGCTGGCCCATACCGAATCAGTATATGATATGTCAGTATCTACTGGTTTGGGTTATGTCTGTTTGTCTGTCTATCTTAGGAATTGCTCATCTCCCTGACAGGGGAACTCTGGACGGTGTACAAGTAAAATGTTAAAAAATAAAATCTAAAATAGGCAAGGAGAGTTAAAGTTTTTACATTAAGAGTTAATTCAATGGTGGGGGGATGGGAATTTCAAGAGCTAACTATCCCCATTGCTGCATGCTTGTCTTGAGTCCCAGGCAATAAGGCAGAGAAGCCTTTACATATTTATGACAGCCCAGGAGCGTGGGGCCTTCCCTTTCTTAATTGGGGAGGGGGAGAATGTTTCAAAGAGCAGGGACAGTGGGAAAGAAGGCTCTCTTCCCAGACTCTGCCAGTCAAAATTCTTTAACTGAGAGGGTTCTCAATATATTTTCCCTTTCTAACCAGGTGGTACAGGCTGATGTGATGGGGTGAAGATGGTTTTTTTTAGATAGCCATGCCATGTAGGGCTTTATAGCTAACATCCTGAATTGGACTCAGAAACACACTGGCATCCAGTGCAACTCGTACAGCAAAGTTGTTACGTGTTACATAGTTAGCATGAGATCATCATTGTTCCTCCTTAACAGGAGTCTGTGCTGTATTTCAGAAGGTTCCCCACAACCTCTGAAGAGAAATTGCAGTGGGCTGAGAACAAACATTCAATGTCTTCCTTTGAACAAGCCAAAATGTTTTTCTATAGTGCAAAACCACCATTGGGTACAGCCCAGTTACTTTGAATTGCTGAAGCTGTAGGACACATTCTAATGAATGAACCACCATGATGTACAACAGCATTTCTCTGTTACTTCTTAGAATATACTTCTGAAAAACATACTGACGTAAAGACCAATCCATGGATTTGAATTTAGTAATGTATTTGTCTAAGCACAGTGCTAGACAATGAAATATACAATTTTTAATGTATATTTGCATGGCAGCCTTGTCAGGAGCTTCCAGGCAATGAGCTGTTGTCTTAATCATAATGCCCTCCTCCAGCTACCTTCTCCCAGATGGGATCGTTGCCAGAGAAGGAGCCTTTTCATTGCTAGTACTCATCAGTGGAATAGTTTCCCCAGAAATAATGTGCAGGATGAACATTTTGAAAGATGTTATTATTTCAGGCACTTTAGGAAATCCTGTTTCTGTTTTGCCATTGGCTCTACTTTGATTTTTGTCAGCTGTATTTGCATTTGCTATTATTGCTAGCGCTTTTAATCACTATTTAATCACTGTTGGTTGGACATTTTGTGTCTCTTTGATTTATACTGTACATTTTAATAGATTTGCAAACTACCTAGGGAAGTGCAGTTGTGAGGCAGTTCAGAAATACACGATGTAGCTTAAGGACATTTTTATTTCAATGTGTTTCTTATGTATTACGTTCCTAGAAGATTTTTGTCATATCTGTGTGTGTGTGTGTGTGTGTGCGCGCGCGCAGGCGCACGCATATATGTATATATCCTTACTTATTGCTGGTTTATATAGGGAGCTCGAATTTAAGGAGCAGCTGAAAATAACCCACAATTCTGATATCTTTATTGGAATGCATGGAGCAGGCCTTACTCATCTTCTTTTTTTGCCAGATTGGGCTGTCATCTTTGAACTGTAAGTCTTTTCTTGGCAGTTATACTTGTATGTTTAATACCTTTGCACAAGGATGTGGGCATGCATTACATGAAGATGGATTTCCTGCTGCAGAGAAAGCTCCAAATTTTTGTTTTTTAATATATGCGTGACAGTGAAGGATGGTACGACTTCCTGTGTCACAGGAGCTGTCAAAATTACCTTGGTCATAATTGGTAAAAATCCAGAAATGCTTCTTCAAATCGATGTGGTAACTGTGTTTGCTGACTTTTATTGGATTGAGGTTGACAGCAGGCAGCCTCCAGGCTAAATCCAGTCTCCTTTTCTGGGTGGTCTGTTGGAAAAACTAGTTGTTGCCTGGATCATTTTTAAACAGGCCTTAAAAATCACATCTAATCTTTCACTCTGATATCCAAGTCCTGTGGATATCAACCACAAAAATGATATGTTTACTTTTTGTGGCTGCTTCTTTCTTTATCTTCTCTCTCATGAGAACATGGCTGAGTTTGTTGATTGGATTACTTTTGCTGCCAGTGAAGATATGGTGTTTTAAAACTGTGTGGCTGCTGCAGTTTTCCATTCTCTATTCTCTAGCTTCACAGGTAATACAACTACACTTGGCAAAGATAATCGTGAAGTATTTGATCTTTGGCTTTCCATAATTTGCTTCTCCTTTCTATAGAGACAGAGCTGGAACAAGGAAAACACAGCTGGATAGTTTTCTGTTAAAATTGTCTCTGATAAACCTTCATCATTTCTGCATCTCTGTAGGTACAATTGTAAAGATGAACGTTGCTACTTAGACCTTGCAAGACTGAGAGGTATCCATTACATCACCTGGCAGCAAAAGGATAAAGTGTTCCCTCAGGATGAGGTACTAGAAGGGTGGGTGGGATGGATGGAAAGGACTTTATTTCCTTGGATCTTAATTGTTTTTGTATTACCCTTCTCAGTTCTTCTACATGAAATATGATTCTGCTCTACAGCTCAAATTAAATTCTCTGCTCTGATTAAGGAGTCATTTTATATTAATAGCTGGGGGAGGAAGAATAATGAAATTAATTGGCCATTAGTTTAGGCTGTCAATAGTGTTGCTGTGAGGGGTTTCTAACTGATACGGTAGTTTTGGAGAGGATCAATAAATCAGCTATTATGAATTATAATAATTATTCAATGTGCTAGTTTTACCTCAGTGCTTCCTTAAAATAATTTTAACTCCTGTTCCTTCAGGGGCATCACCCGACATTAGGAAAACATCCAAAATTTACAAATTACGCCTTTGATGTGGAAGAATTTGTCCGTCTGGTTCTGTTGGCAGCTGATCATGTGTCACAACACTCCAAATGGCCATTTAGGAGAAAACATGATGAATTCTAGGTCAAATAATTGGCCTCCTTTGCAGAATGTCGGCTCTTTTGAAGTAGAATCATGAATTATGAACTTGTTTGAAGAGGGAGAAGGGAAAAAGGTTAAACAGGCAGGAGTCATATATAATGTCTCCCTCCAAGCATATTGTTTCTGTATTATTACTTTCTTACTGACAATCCCTGTCCTAATTTACTTGAGGAATTTGCATTATGCATGATCTATTTATTAAAGTGACCATGTTTGCACTATAATCTTCCTATTTATTTTAGGATTGTCAGCCTCTTTGCTCCAGAGCAGTGGAGTGAAAGATAAGCACACTGGACCTTTTTTCTTCTACTTCTTTTTGTGACCTGTAACAAGACCTTTACAGCCTTGTATTTCCCTGCCTCCCTCCCTTCCTTAGCACTAACAGTGATCTGGAAATGAACATCCAGCTGACCTGCATCTAGTCAGTATTTTTTTGTGTAATGGAAAAGCTAAGAAATCAGGTGGATAATGCAACTTATGTGTGACATGCTTAAATGTTACACTTTTTTTAAAGTAGCAAATCATAGCTAAGAGAAGGATTTTGGCATGAAATTCACAGAGGGCCTCAGTCCTAATCAGCAGTGTAATCCAGATCTGGCACTCTGACTTCATTTTTAATTAAAAGAGAAGTAGCTCTCTGAAGAATGCTTATCCATATTTTTGTTTCCATTGCTATATGCATTTCACATTTAGAACTGTCATTATACAGGTAATCCTCAGTTAATGATCATTTATTCAGCAACCATTCAAAGTTAATGCAGTGCTGGATGAGGAGACTTGTGCCTGATCCTTAGAGTTATAGCCACTGTAGCATCCCCATGGTCATGTGATCATGATTCAGGCACTTGGCAACTGGCTCACAATTACAGTGGTTGCAACAACCTGTGGTCACATGATCACTATTTGCGACTTCCACTGCTAGCTTCCCACAAGCAAAGGCAATGGGGAAGCCAGTAGGAGGTCATGAACTGCGATCGCATGACATAATGTAGGGTTCTTCTAATGGCAACTAGAGCTGCTGGAACTGTTGTCATAAATCAGTGCAGTCATTGTCACTTTTCCCAAAGATGCTTTTTCACGAGACAACTGGACTTTCTTGTTCTTCTTTGAAAACATTTCGCTTCTCATCCAAGAAGTTTCTTCAGCTCTTGCTGGATGGTAGGGAATGAATTATATTCCTTTCCGACAGCTATTCATTTGCATTCTTTTAGCGAGTTGTTAAAGTTACCTGGAGGCTTATCTGTGTCTTCAGGGACACCTGAGTAGTGCAAATGGGTGTGGAGCCTTCTTGGAACTGTTGAAAGGATTGTGTTGTAGACTGGAGATAGATGAAGTTGCATCCCTCCCCCTCTGTTGAGAGAGGGCTGTTCAATTTTGACCTAGATGGCCTCTTTGACCCCTCTTTCAAACTAGTCAGAGCTGAAGAAGCTTCTTGGATGAGAAGCAAAACGTCTTCAAAGAAAAACAAGAAAGTCCAGTTGCCTCGTGAAAAAGCATCTTTGGGATAACTATGACCTGGATGACTGAGAATCTCCATAGTCATTGTCATTTAGTGACAAAGTTATTGGTCCCACTTGCCATGGTTAACTGAGGACTACCTGCACATTTAGTTTTATGCATTAATCATTCCTCTACTTGCTTCCTTGTGGGTGTGCATGTTTCATTACACATGGGATGGCAGGTATATGGATGAAATATTTTAATTTGTTACTGTAGCAGTTTTCTCCATGGGATCTTACTGTGTTTATCTTAGCAATTTACTCCTGTCTTAAGTATCTCTATGTTTATTTTTCTTACTTGGACAGTGTTTTCACTCTTTTAAATCTCCTTGATTTATCTTGCTAACTTTGCTACAATCATTCTGGCTTTGTCTAACCTTCAACATTGTATACATTCTGTTACCATTGTTTTAAACAACTGACCAAGTGGTTCAATGGTGGGTTTTTTTTGGGGGGGGGGATGTTTACAATTGAATAATATTTCCTAAATAATTTTCCATGAATGTACATCATTGGCTATTTTTCATTTAATTGTAATGCACATTCCAATAGTCCAGATAGGACTAGAATAGGTTCCTGTCACTTAATTTCTTGTTGTTTCTTATGGAAATAACTATAATACTAAAGTTGATTAGAATTAATTTTATCTGCATCCCTTGCCACTGAGAGTATAAAAAAACCGTATGATGATGCTGATTCTAATATGCACTGTTTAAATGTTTGTACAGTAGCTGGAATGCTTGCAACATTGATTTAGGGCAGGGGTGTCAAACTGCTGGTCCATGGGTCAGATGCGTCACATGGAAGCCATGCCCACCCCATTGCCAGCAATGGCAAAACTGGCCCGATACGTTGTGCGACGTCATGTGACATTGTGAGTTTGACATGCCTGATTTAGGGTGTTCCGCCCTTGACAAAAACAAGTCATCTTTATTTGCATGCAAAAGTAGACAAGTATAAATACATGGATGATACATAATGATTGATATTATTGACCTTTTTTTAAATAATCAAAAGCAATTGTTCAGAGAGCGGCCCTATTGACTGTTGTGTTTATAGGAGATTTTTTAAAAAAGCAGCCTCTGGACTCTTTTAACATGACTCACTGCAAAAGGCCCGAGAGATTTTTGAAATGGGCTGGGTTATGAAGATTTGCCTTTCCTTCTTAGACTGAGAGAATTGGTTGAGAAAACTCTCGTCTATAAAACTTGAAAATTATACTCTTCACAAAACCCTCCCAACTTCTTAAAAAGATCATTAAGAAAGCAAAAAAAAACCAAAACAGTATCGGTATTTTTCTTTAAAAAAATAATAAAAGGGAAATTTACTTTGTAAAATATAGGCATTTGTTTGTGACTGGACATTTATATATCATGTTGGATCACTGTACATATTTATTATCAGATGTGCCAGGGTTTAAAAATGTATGTTCTATAACCATTTTTCCTCCGGAGCAAACATTTAATCCTTAATTATTGGAAAAACATTAAGATCCTTAATGCATTCTCATCAATCATCAGATTAAAGCTTTGGAGTTTGTCTTGGAAATATACATTGACTTTGAATGGTCATCATAATAACTAAGTGGACAGCACACAGTCTAGAGCTCTGTATGCTGTCCAGCACTGAAAGTTAATTATCTGCTAAGAAAGACAATCAAAGAAAGCAAAGTGAGCTGGCACCTATTACTGTCCCAAAATATTAAAGAGAAATGGAAGACTGTGCTGACGATTTAGGAGATTAGTTAATTGTTCCTACTGTGAGGAAAGGCTAGGCAAAAACTAATATTCACATTACAGTAATTTTTAATGTTGTACCAAGATATGAAGAGAGGAAAGGCCAGAAACTTGCTTCTTTAATGAACATCAAGTGGGAATTTAATCTTTTGTCCATGTATAGTTTCAAGAGATACATCAAAATTTAGACGTAGCATTTGGTGATATATATGGATATGAATGAATGAAACCTGTACTTAAATGGGAACTGGATAAGCACTAGAAGAATAAATTAGATACTTGGGCAAGTTGAAGGATTTCTCCATCCACTCTTTGTTTAGTGACTGAGTTCCATTTTAACAACCAGAATGTTAAGTGAAATGATTGCTGAGTGAATACCTGATAGAAAGAGAGAGACACACACTGTGAAGATCACAGTAATATAAAGTTCTCTCTTACAGTTACACCAGTGTTACTCATTCCGGTGTGCAATGTTGTCAGCTGCACAAAAATGGTTGTAAATATGGTCTTTGATTGGATAATCAATTATCTTCATCCTATTTACAAATTGTCAGTTGCTAAACAAGAAGTGAGTCTAGTGACATGGCTACATAATGCAAGGCTTAAGACTGTATTTCATAGGAAATACTGCTCCCCACAAAAGCTCATAGAGGTGTTTCACAAATTGTCTAATAATTGAATAGCCCTCTATTTGTTATATTTCCAAAACTACTCTTCTACTGGAAGTAACAGGAAGCGATGAATGCAGGCTGACAATAATGGGATGCACAATGTAAAGTGCTGCCTGAAAATATTTTGGAGGATATACAGGTAGTCATCAACTTACAACAGTTCACTTAGTGACTATTCAAAGTTATAATGGCACTGAAAAACTGACTTACGACCATTTTTCACACTTACGACCTTTGTAGCTGCCCCATGATCATGTGATCAAAATGCTTGGCAATTGGTTCATGCTTATGACCGTTGCTGTGTCCTGGGATCATGTGATCATATTTTGTGTCCTAACAATCAAAGTCAATGGGGAAGCTAGATTCACTTAACAAATGTGATACTAACTTATCTACTACAGTGATTCACTTAACAACTGTAACAAGAAAGGTCACAAAATGGAGCAAAATTTACTCAATAAATGTCTCACTTAACAACCAAAATGTTGGACTCAATTGTGGTCGTAAGTTGAGAATTATCTGTAAATACATAGAGAACAGTAATCTACATACAGTAGGATCGTTTTATATTATCATTCTATTATGAAATGTTGCTCCATGCACTCCAATTACTTATGTGCAGGTATTTCAAAATGTATGAAGCCATTCATGTGAAAAGAACAATGATTTTGAGGACAATTCATTTTACTTTTGAATACAGATTTAGAAGAACTGCGTTCATTTTAAAAGCGAGTAAAACTATTTCTTATTCATTTGAAAAACCTTGCTCTGTGCCACCAGTTTCTGGACTGTTTTTTGTTTTATTGCTGAACCACTTTTGGTATTGGATTTTTTAAATAAAACACTAGCTTTTGTTCTTTGAGCATTTTGTATTTTTTGATAAAGCTATTTCTTTGAAAAAAAAAAAAACCCCAGTAAGGTTACAGTGTGAGATTTCTCTTTCTCTACATGCCCATCCATCCATTAGGGAGAGCTGCTTTAAAGAGGTGTAATATTTGCACCCCCATGTGTTTCATGCAATAGAATGGATGCATTGCGCAGTTATTTTATATATATTTTAGAGTGTGTAATCTATTTTCAGGCTCCTTTACCATTTTTCAGTATTTAATATGCCACTAGATGGTGCCAAAATACTTTTAAATTAAGAGTGATAATTCAGATGCGCTGGAGAATGAAATTTAGGATCTAAAACCATAGATTAGAAACTCTAATACTCACCTATAATTAGATGTGAACACACTAACAGAGTTATTTAATTATTATGGGTTGGGTCTAGGCTTAATTATATCTAGGTTAAATTCAATGAAATCAACAGAACTTAAGTTAACCATCACTAATTGATTTCCATTTATTTCAATGGATCTATTTGAAAGCATAGATCCAGTGTGCAAAAGTGTATAATCCCTTCTTTTTATCACCTAGGTCCTCAAGGTGGCGTACAAACATAATTCTACAGCACTATAAAAATGTCAACAATAAAATGTATAAACAAGCTAACAAAAACAGTTTAATGTATTTAGCTGCAGATTAAAATGTTTATTTTAATTGGAACCGTCCCTGTGAGCAGATGTTTGATGATGATAGTTTGTTACATTTAACCTCTGCACATCTTGATGCAGATAGCAGGCTTTTCCCAAACAATACATTATTTGCCTTCTGGGCAAATGTTAACCTTGACTAAAGAGACTCAGCATTTCAGATGTGTCTTTTCTGTGATAAGTGCATCTGGATCTTCATAAACTATAGAAAATGGTGGGTTTTGCTTTTCCACATATAGATTTAGCTGTCAGATTAAAGATTTTTCTAAGTCTTGAGGAAAGCTGACTTCTGAGGCAATCCAATAGGTAAAAGTCGAGTCTTTCATGACATATCAGTGACAACTATATTTGACTTTAGTGATGTCAACCTAAAACATACTGTTATGTTATAACTCTGTCATTAATGCTTCCTTTATGAGGTATCCTTTCCCATATTTGTGATAGCCACATGACATTAAAGCAGTGATTGTGAAGCTCTTCAATTCTGCCACATAGAATTCTCCATTATTTAAAAGCAGGAGAGGATATAGAAAAGAAATTTAGGCTAAAAAAAGTCTAATTTCATCTGATCAAGACATCCCACAATAGTATATGGCTATTAGATATAAATGGAATTTGAGATAATATGATGTACCTCATCTTTGTATGAAATGACTGAGGCATAATTAAAACATTAATGAGAATCCTCCTAATTAAATAAATTAGGCTCAGTTTTTCAAATTAAGCCTGATGATAACAAAGAGTCTGGTTCCTTAGAAACACCAATACCCAAAATTTCCCCAACCCCGATGTCTGCAGATTCCTCAAATTAAATCTACTCAATTAGTATACATCATTATGGATATTGTGTATGCTGCTGTTCAAATGCCAACTT